CCCCAAAACCCCAAAACCCCAAAACCCCTTGATACACTTATTATCTGAAATGAATGAATTATTGTAATCATGTTAATCTCTAAATTAAAAAAATAATTCAAACAATTATCGAATTTCACTCTACCAGAGCTCTTATGAGAAATACAAATATTCTTTCGGCTACACATCTACCTTCCATTAATTTATTGGGATCATATTGTTCCTCTTAATCATGATCTTCATCAGTATGAGCATGTTAGTCTGAGGACTCGAAATCTGAGAATATATCTGTCTATTACTGAGACGAATCAATATCTTCATCCTTTTCCTTATATTGTTTTTTCTTTTGCAAGAATTAATTCTTCTTAGATTTGGATTTTTTAGCTTAGGGGTACATATTAAACAGTAAATGCTTTATTTGTGTTCTAGCCACCAAATAAAATGCTATGAAGGTAACAAAGATAATTGAAGTGAATATAGTGATGAATATGAAAGATGAGGTGAAAAACCAACTGCCCATTAAGTACCTTATTCCAAACAGAGCTGGTGTAATCCTTAGCACTGCATCAGAAAATACAATTGAAGCATTACTCAAAATTATCTCAATTGCTTTTGCTTAGAACTCAGCATTGTTAAAATTCTCCACAATATGAACAGTAACTGTTTGCTTAGGCTCACAATTGCAAAATATGTTGATTACTGGCACATATCTGAACATTTCTTTGACCCAAATGATATAACCAGACTTGTAAGAAATGTGACTTATTCTATGATAACTTAGAGTGTCATGCTTTTTAACATAGGAACTCACTTTCGCATTCAGGTAGATATTTCCTTTTTACATATTGTAGTCACTTTCAGAAACTCCGAAATCAACATCGATGTTGTAGAGTTCATCGTCCATTCTTAAATCAATCTCAACATCTTAAGTATTTTTAAATCCTGATTTTTAGGAACCTACTGGTACCAAAGCAACTAATTATGGTTGACTGATTAAGTTGGATTTCTCATCAATTCGTTAGTCTATTATTGAGGAAACTTAGAAGGATAGAGGCTTAATCTAGGCATCATGAGGCATTATTACATAGAATATAAAGGCATAGAAAAATGTCCCTATCATCATAGATAGAGCTAACGTCATCATTAGGAGAACTGATCTAAAAAGTGTCAAAATACAAAACTAAATTATATTTACTTTGCCATTAAACTGCTCATAGTCATAAAGCTTTTGCCAGCTTAGTCCTTTACTGAACTCTTAATTTCTCTCGATTTCACACTTATATCGTCAACAATATTTGGATAGAACTTTTTGATAATCCATAATGCAGGCATAAGGGGCAGCTTTGCTGCTGATTTCAATGTACTGAACATTACATAAGACGGGAAAAACATGGCAGTTACCATGAAACTAAGTAACTAAGTTCCCTTTGATTACTTCTTATCTTTAGATTTGTCTTTAGGCAGCTTGGGTACAAGTCTTTGAGGCTTAACTAGACTTTCTGGCTATCTCTTTCGCATTTTCACAAACGATTAAGTATAATATAGTATAATGTAATATTATTAATTTAGTAAATTGTTATTAAATTAATGAGTGGATTAGAGTATATCAAATTTTTCCAGTCTACTTGAGGAGATTTCTGAGAAGCTTTCTTCTCTTAACTCTCTTATGCTTCTTCATCTTCAATTACTTCCTCTCATAAGTATTAATCATCATTAATCCTTTCTCCTCCTCCATTGAATCGCTCTCTGGCATCATTGGTTCTCCGTATTTTTCATCTATTCTGGCAATAATATTAGTCTCTTCCTCAACTATTTTGTTAGTGCTTTATGTATTTATTTGTGATAATTAGTCCAAAAGCTAGTTGTTGCAGAATGTGCTCATTGGGTCATAAAAATGAACTTAGGAAAAATAGGTCTAGTGATATTGTCTTTGCTAGATAGCTAAAACTTAGAGGGGTCTATAAACACTCTAGGATATGAGTGGGTAGAATTTTCTTAATAATTAGTTAGTTATCATTTTAAAACTAATATAATATTAATTATAAAACTTTAAGAATAAAAATGAACTTTGTAGAGAAAAAGGAACTTAAAAATTCAGATGAGAGACTAAAGCTCAAGGAAGCTAACCGTGCATACACCGAGTGCATTTCTAAGGATTTCCTTAATAGATTCCTAGCAGGAGAGAAGGTTGATGCTAATGATTTTTGTGTTAACGAGAGAGTTAGAATGGAGCAGCTTGATAGATAAATTTATGGACAGCTAAATATCTGAGAATGGAGATCATCCTAACTATATTGGGGATTGTTCATAATGCATTTAAACACTCTCAATCTCATTCTGGGATAATAGTTAACTTATTTAAACAAATCTATTAATATCAATCAATTATGAAGATTTTCTCAAAATCAGAGTGTTTAGGAAAGTACTGAATGCTATTCATCTCTTTTATCTTATCATAAGTTCTCTTCTTTGCTTTTCTAGCTCTTTGACTTGCCTCATTCTTTCCTTTAGCTCTTCTTTTTTCTTTTCCTCTTCCTTCTTTTTCTTCACCTCTGGCAGCAGTTCATAGTTCTTAGTAGTCAGTTTAAGCATATCTTTCTTGCTGATCTCAGCTTTCTCTCCTTTAGCCAACCTGCTCATCAAGTGAGTTGGAATATTTTTGTCATTTTTATTTAGCTCTTCTTGTTTCTATTACTACTGCTGCTGTTGATTTGATGTCTTAGGCTTTTACTTCATCATCTGCCTTCTTATTTCTGCAAGTTCCTCCTTTGACTTTTCCTTTTTAGGGGGCTATCTCTTGCTATCCTCACTTTCCTGTTAAGATTCTCTGCTCTCTAGCCTTGCTTCTAATAACTTCTGCTTCTTTAGTCTGAATGCTTCAGCTAAACTACCAGCACCAACATTCAAGCTTACTTAATCATCGTTATTAATTTCTAGTTTAACACCTCCTTACCTCTGAGAATTAAGGTTTATTTGATTCGAAGAATTAAATTAAGGGGTGTTACTAGTGAACTGAGGTGCAGTATTCTTGTTTAGAGAATTAGTATTTACTGGGTTGTAGTTATACTATTGCTGATTATAAGATAAATCTTGACTGCTTGAGTTCTTCTCTTCTTCCTCCTCATGAATAGTATAGTTATTTCTGTTGTTGTGCATACTCTTACCCATAGTTTAACCATTAGACTTAAGATAGCTACCTGTTTATCCTCCATTGCTCATCTTCATTTTTGAACTTAGGTAATTGCTTCCCTCATAATCTCCAATCATCTCTGAATAAGAGTAACTTAATTCACTTTAAGGGGTTTAGCCTTAGTCTACTTTCCCAAAACTTTAGACAGCTTAATTTTCTGGTTATTTTAAAGATTAAGTATAATCGTATCCGCGAGATTATGTTGGTTGTTAAGAAGAGTGGCCGTACTTGGCATCGGATTCAGAATAACCAAGATTCTAAGTATTTTTAGACTTGCCCGAATTTTTAAGATAAGAAGTTTTTCCAGTTTTATTGCTTGAAGAGAAACCTGAGTTCATCATTTAACTGCTCTTGCTTTTGTTATTTGAATCTTGAAGAAATTCATCAGCTAAGTACGAAGTTGTGAGTGATTGCTGATCATTAATGGTCTTTGAATGATCATAATTTGAGTTAAGATACTTATCACTAATATAACTCTCATCCTCATTTTGACTTTCTTAGTCTTCATTTTTTTAAATTGCTGAACTTAGTTTTAATGATGCACTTAGAGGTTATTGCATGTAATGCTTATTTTCCTCTATGTATTTCTAATACTGATTTTGTTATTTGGCCTCATTAATGATCTTATTGATCTCATTCATCGGATAATCATTCTCATTGTTCCTGGAAGAGGATTTAAGCTCGCTTGATGTATGCTCGTGCTCATGACCACTTGACTTTGGTTAGGAAAACTCAGCATCACTAGCTTCCTCATCATCATAATCGGAGGGAAGCTCTGAGTCATCATGATTTTTCTTTTTCAAGTATTACTTATTCTCTTATAAGAACTCATCAACCATAGCCTAAGGATTATTTGCCTGTTTCTATTATTTAGGATGATTAAGTTTTATTTAAATTCTTTGGCTTTCATCCTTTTATTCTTTTTTCTTAATCTCTTCTAGGTAAGGGTTATAGAATTAAGGTTGAGCAGATTAAGTTGGTGCAGGATTTGGCCCATTTTCATTTGGTGGAGGAACAAAGAATGGATTGGTTTTTGATTAGTAATTATTTTGTGCCATAGTTAGCTATTGCTAATACTGCATAAGCTGTTATTTATAAAAGGATGCTTATTCTTAGAGCTACTGATTTGAAAATATCTAAGGATTTTGCTGTTAATCTTGTTGTTATGTCATCATTTATTACTAAAGTTAATGTTTCTTGGCTGAATCTTCTTAGAGTCTTGAATTGAGGACATAATTTGAACCTAAATCTTCAGAATCATCATCATTAATCATCTTCTTTTGAGAACTATAAGGATCTTCATGATAGAATTAATACTTTGAACCATCGATTATTGGCTGTGATTGAATATTTTATTCACTTTAATACGTAGCCTACGGGAAGTTAAGGTTGATTTGCTGTGGCTAGTTCGGATTCTAATTCAGGTCTTTCTAAGACTGCTTAGTCTATGAGTTTGACTAAGATTAGCTTGATTAATGCTGATTCTTTGAATCTTCTTATAGTCTGATATTAAGTTTATAGGGTTTGGGTGGAGCATTTAAAATGTTTTGATTTTCATCATCGTTTTCTTCCCCTTCTTCATCTATGTTCAGAAATTCTTATTCAAACAAATTTTAAAGCTTTTCCTATTTTTGTTTTTACTTCTTCTCATTCACCGCTAAATTAAGGTTAGTTTTATCTTTAAGGCCATTTTAAATCTTCTCATAGCCCTCCTTGACTTAAATCTTTTTCATTTCTTTTTCAAACTCCTCTTTATCCTTCTTGCTTTATTCTATTTCTAGAGCTTGCTTGCCTCTTTCCTTAGCTTTCAATTCATTTTATCTGACTATGCTTTCCTTTTTTGCTTTCTCGATATTTTTCTTTGTTGCTTCAGTCTTAGCCTTTTCATAAGCACACTTTTCAAGTTCTTCCTGAATAACATTATCATGATCATGTCTAAGAATAAGTGCATTGTGGAATCTAGTGTTGGTGTAGTCAAGCTGAGATTTTGAAATGATACTATTTTCAACTTTTTTGCTGTACTTGCTGACTTTCTCAATTTGAGACAGACTTTGATTATCTCCAATCATCTTACTTCTCATGCTCTTTTGCTCTCTGAATTTAGAAGCTAAATCATGAGCTAACATACTCTCTTGCTAATGAACTAACTTTTTTCTCTCGATTAATTTAATTTATTCCTCTAGTTCTATCTTTTCTTGTTGAAGTTACTTCTCCTTCTCAAGAGCTAACTTTCCTCGAACTTTCTTATTTCTCTCATCTCTGATTGCTTTTTCTTTCTTATCTAATTCATCTCTGAGTCTTCGTTCTTCTGCCTCTTCAGCATCTCTCATAGCTTTGCCAGTCCTTTCTATCTCCAGTTCCCTTAGTTTTTTAAGCTCCTCGATCTCTTATTTCTTTTGAAGGTATTCTTAATACTTCTGAAACTCTTCTTGTTACTGCTTTTCCTATTTCTGTTTTTCCTGGGTTTATTGCATTTTTAGGCGGCCTGCTACCTTTTCTTGATTCCTGACTTGCTTTATCCTCTCTATTCTGTTCCTTTCCTCTTGCTCTCTGAGGAATTTTATTTCATCAGCTCTGGAGCAGATCACGACAGAGGATTAATTTGTGACATTGAGGCTTGTGGAACTCATGTTCTGAGACTTCACATGTTGATGGATTATCATTTTAAATTTAAACGATTATTCAATATTATTTAGAATACAATCAATAGAATATATAAATATATAAAGAGAAGATATATATTTGCTAGTAAATAATTTTTGAAGAGAATTAAATTTGCCATCTATCTCTCTTTCTCAGACAACGATTGGTCTTGTAGCCTTGAAAGTGGTCTTAAGGCTCTTGGATGGTGCTCTCTTAATGGGCTTGACCTTGGGGAACTTGACTGAAACCTTGGAGAAAGCTCTGCTGTGATCTCTTTGGCAATCTTTTGGTTGAACAATGCTAGTCTTGATGATTTAGATGGATTCATGGGGTGCTCTGTGTCTTCCACTCAATTCCATGTCTATTTAGTTCAGTTCAAGCATTTAAAGTAAACTTACACATCTGGGAAACAGCGCCAGCAAGGGTAGTGTCTCTGTACTCCTTGTACATGTTGATTGGGTCAGTTCTTGACAAATATCTTAGAACAATGCCGTAGTTCTTGACGACGCTTGGGTGCTTTTCAAAGACCTATTAAACAGTTACTTTAGATGTGTTGGTTACCTCTGAGACTGAAACGATTTCTCCTTGGATCTTTCTGACTTTGTGTTGTCTCTTCATGTGGTACCAGAATTTAGACTTGGCGAGAACGCTATTCTTTGCGAATACTCTCATTCTGTAGAGAGTTGGATTGGGGGTCTTCTCGCTAGCGAGGCCTCTTCCAATAACGAAAAATTGTCTCACCTAAGGTAAAGTTAAGCTTAAAATCGCGAATTAAGTACTTTAGATTGCATTGATTCTACTCCAACGCCTTTAACCATTTCTCTTTTATCTAATATAAAATAATAAATCCTTCATTAATATCATATTTAATATCCCCATCTCTTCTTTCTCAATTGATTATTAATCCTTAGGGGTTTTGGGGTTTTGGGGTTTTGGGGTAGAATCAATGCAATC